AAATTATATTGACATTGTCCGAGACATTGTTGTATTCACAGCAACATTTTCATATCTGTGGCATAATCTTTAAATTTCTAATTAGTACATTGCAGTATATGAGTAAAAGGTTCTGTGATAATATTTTTGTACCTATCCATGAATGTTTAGTGTGCCCGCAAGCCGTGTTTTAAAACATAAAGTTAATTTCCATTATCACCGCCTATATCTTGTCACATGACTAGTTTCCATAGAAACCAAATAGTTGAAAAACATCGGCAGTTGATTTCCAACATCTCACCCAAAAATGAGAGTCATAGTGTACTTTGTTAATTTTTAATTAATTTTTAAAGATTTTTCCTATTTTCCCACTCCTTACGAAATTGGAGCCAGGCATTAATGCACCTGAGAGGCTTGTATCCGAGTATATCAGTCATAAAGTAAGAAGGAAAATAAGGAGATTCTTTTGTCTAATCTCACGAGTGCCAGCACTCTGAGTAAAATCACCTGGCGTTAAATCACCTAGCGTTAGACAGAGTAACATATGGAACTAGAGCCATTATAGGGCACATTGCCACTTTTAAGGGTTAAATGCCTTCCACATGCACTGAACTGATGGAAGACATAGTGCAGGTGCAATACACGCAAATGCTACCTTTTTATTCATAGCAACATTAAATACACGCATGCATGCAGGTCTCCAAAATACTGTATATGCTTTATCTTCGTTTCTATGGTGGGGAATGAAAACTTTTCCCAACACTAGTATTGAAATTATTCTCATTTCGCGTTCAAATTTAAGAATTTGAATAAAGAATGCCCTAATTATTTCGATCGGTCATTTGTATATAATATATAGGTATAAATAGTACATGGTTTTGAGTGCAATTTGGAGAGTGCAGTTTGGAGTGTAATTCGAAGAAAAACTCACGAGTGTCAAAACTAAATTCTAAATGCATGTCTTTTGTTTAAGCGCTTCTTTAAATGGGATAGTATTTGGATACTTTTATCGCATTAAGGTATGATTTTTAGTGGTATGAAAAAGTAAGTCTATAAACTCAAAAATAAATCTATATAAGCATGGGCGTACCGGGCGGGGGGGCGGCAGCCCCCCCCCCAGTTTTTTTGGGCAGTCGGGCAATATTCGCTGAACAGTCGGGCAATTTTGGTTAATAAAAAAAAAAAAATCGGACAAATTCTGTAAATTTTGTGGAAAATTTTTTGATATTTCCCAATTTTTTGTAAGTTCCGGACAATTTTGGTATGTGCGGAAAAATTTTTTGACCCCTAAAATGGTACACTGAAAATTTTTTCGGTACTTGTCGGGCAAAATCAGATCTCAACCAATCAGATTTCAGAATAGTTCATATACGGTGGAATACCATATTATAGTAGGCTCGATTAACAGCCGGTATTTGGGAAGGGGTCCGACTTGAGACCACGGTTGGTGATCGAGCCTAACATTATAGAAGTTATTTCAGTTGGGCATATATCGAGAAAGAGCCACTTCATACTAGCGGATTGTAAGAGTCTTTCTTATCCATCCACCACCTTTCATCTGTATCTTCTTCCGTGGGGACGGGTAACAGGAAAGCAACCGAGAGCATGATGGTCACGTGCCAGATGCAATGAACATAATAATAATTCTCAGGTTCTGAAACAACCAAGTTGACTACAGCTCCTGTTGTGGCTAATGAATAACCAGGGAGAAGGTTAAATATCCATCTAAATTAAATGTTCAGGGAAATATTTTAAAACATTTATTGCATTTTGGGGTAGATGCAGGCTGTTCGTTTGATAATTGTTGAAAAATGAAAACGTTAGCTGGTACATCAACCAATTCAAGCATTAAACGAATTATGCCAAGTTCAACAAGCCGTATATTATAGTCTGTTTCTATACCATGGCGTATTAGTTATTTCACCTTATAATGAGAGTTATATAGCTAGACACGATTCATGTCTTGTTATAATTATAGCCTATTCCTAACCCATAAACAGCACTAGCGAGATATCAATCATTTTTAGAGTATAGAGGTAATAAACGAGGAGTGATTTTTTCATGAAAAGCCGTGGTCCGAATTTTCTGTTTTGCTAACCATCGCCAATAATTAGAGAATAGAGTTATATTTATAACTTGTTTAACCATGCAGCGCGAGTGCACGACAATAAAAAGTATTCCATAGAGATCTTTTTTTTAAGACGAAATTGTCCACTTACGGCTGGAGAGCCCATGCAGTAAGTGAACCGACCCATTATTGCCTATGGTGCATGGTGGTCATGCATGACATATAATGATGTGACATAAAGTTTGTTTTAAATACTCACCTTCTTAAACTAGGATAGATCTTTCCGTATTTCACAGTTAGGTACACCTGCATGTTATAAAAAATTGATATCAATATATAGATAGCAATGTTAAGAGCAAACAAGATCCTAGACCGCGCTTATACGAGAAACATTGTACCTATTTAACACCTCAGTATAACTGATGAGCATTTTACCATGTATCACACCTCTTGCATGGCCTTATATACCCAAAACACTCATTATAGCATAATTATTCCAATATATTATATCAAGCTTTTTTAGTTTTTATGTTCAGATATAGGTAATGAGAACATTGATGTCATCATAACTTTTTTTAAATGCAACAAAAGTCCCCTATAAAGTTATCGAAATCGTAAAATACATGGTATTAACATGATCATATATACGTATAGGGAGATATGTGAATTCTTCCTTCTCTCTCGTTATTTTAACATGCCTCAACACAAGCTTTTTAGTACAGTGAGTGTTTTGATTGTATATATAGCATATATAGCGACCATCAACATGCCAACGTCACTACATACGTTTCGTCCGGCTTCAATGTCTGGACTTATCAGTGAGGAATTTGACTTGGGAAGTATACGTGTCACTGAGGCCAGGGTTTTTTTGCCCTCCCGCCCTTCAATAGCGCCGATTATCGGTGAGAAAACCCGTAATCCAATAACATGGCAAATCATCGAGCGTTGGGCAGAGTAGAATAAGTCATTTTATGTCACGTTGATAGAAGAACTGCTAAACAGTATTTTAATACAAAAACTGCCTGTAAATAATAGGAAAGATTCAAGGCGCCGCCGGCAACATGACTGCAACGCAAACAAGACGTACGAAAATGCAGCTGAGTCTTAAAGAGTGCATTGGTAAAAAGATGACTTGCTTAATTTAAAGTTAAGGCCTGTTTACACGATACTTGTTTTGCTGGTAGTCTGGGACTGATTGTAATTTCGCTTCAGTCGGCTAAATTATAATAAGAGTGCTTCTCAAGTGCTTTCTATACCAATCATACTCCAGTTTCCTCCTGCAAAGGATGTCCTCTAGAGAGGGCAGTTTATAACTGATAGAGTTATGCAGCCTAAATAAAATCAGTTTCATACTGAGAATACTGCTAGTATCTATACTTACATATTGAAAGTAAATATACAGCAAAGCTGGTCCGGCGAAAACAAGATTGATATAGAAATGATAGCTGCTGTTTACAGTTTCGATGACAGCAAACTGCATGCAGTAAAATTGCAATAGCCAGTAATAGAAGATGTTTTTTTTGGTGGCGCCATTCTTGTCATAGCCCAGATTGTGGCAATGACTGAGAGGTCAGAAACGTACATGTCACTGTAGTGAAGACGTGAATATCCTTTCAAACAATGCAACTCTGCTTCACACAAGTGATACATCTGGTAAATAATAAAAAATAATTGTCAATGATTAAATTTTGGAATGCAGAGTCCCTGAAATTCTATGCACTTCATTGGAGGCCAGGCCTCCTATTTGCACCGCTATATATATGTTGTGAACTGTTCAATGTGCATACAATAAACATTATACTTACACCAGATAATATAAAGTTGAGAAAGTAAATTATTGCTTCTGCATAAAAACGTCGTTTCAAAGCGAGAAAAACAGCAGGTAAGAAGGCAAGATTCGTAATCACTCGAAACCATCTGAATGCAATCGTATGAGGATCGTAGGACTCTGACACTTCTACGGAAAGTTCTGTACTGTTTGACATTCCTGGTGTGTAGATTGTCATATACCATGGTCCACAGTCGCCCTGCATACCGTAGATATTCCCGTGGTTAATGTTAAGTGCATCAGAATTATTGACCCAATTGCATTTTTGTTCAAGACCTGTAGCTGCAGACAATTCCCAAACACATGCTATCATAGACATAGGCTGTGAAATTCCCTTCAACAGCAAGAAAAACATTTGACAATTTCCAACGTTCTTTCGAATTAAGATGACATGCAGAAGAGAAGTGCCAGACACATTGAACACAGAGACTGTACGACTTGTTGGATCCCATACCAAGCGGTGGTAATGAAAATTTCCTTTGACTAAATTTTCCACGTCATTAAAAATGTCATGAGGTACAGTGACTGCTGCAGTGTTTGACTTGCTAGCTAAAGGTTGATAAAAAGACATATTTAAGTATTTCTATAGATCAGTGGTAAAAACGTATCAATTTTGTGACCCCCGACAGGTAAGGTATTGAACATCAAAATTTTTCCTTTGCCAAATTTTCTTGACACAAAGTGGTGAAGTAATATACGAGCAACGAAATTGCTGAAACTTGCAACAAAAGCTGACTGCTTACCATTGAAATGAATGCTTACTAATTGCTACGACGCATGAATGTTGTCTCATGTTTATTGACATCATAGTCAATCGAGCTATGGCCTGGCATGGACACTCGGCAAACTTCAAAGTCTTTATAATCGGAGCTACGATCGTATGACGAGGCATAGTCAATAAATAGAAGAAGAAGGCTAGGCAATCGATGCCGACGTAATAGACCTCATTATCTATGTCTTTTGTCTTAGTATATTATACAAGAAATGATCGGTTCGTCGTCACGTGTGTATTGTATTTTCGCTATAGAGCAACCAATAGCTATGTTTTCATTTAGCCATTGTGTAATATCACGACTGGGTAATTAAACCAATACACTGCGACTTTCCTAACCTTCCTGTTCTGTTTACTATGGATGTTGCGGCTTCACTGTACACAAATGTTTTGAAATTTTGCTTATTAATATTTCAATTAAATTAACAGTACGGTTGAGTGTTTCGATGATCGGATGATGCTATTGGATGATTGCTTTATTACGCCAAAAATATACATTGTCTTCATCGTACACAAGCCGTAGTTTGCATAAACATAGACAAAAAGAATCAATAAAGACCTCGTTCAAGACTGTCGCAGAGTTTCTAGACCATATCTTGATTGAATGTTGAAACGCGTTGAGAAAATTTATTATTTGTTGCAAGTATATTCACTTGATATATTGTTGCAAGTTACTGCAATTAGCCTTTCTCACGCCGCCATTTTTGGGTGGCATTTCAGCCGAAGTCTGCGAGATAAGTCCACATAACAGAGACTTTTTATAATTTTTTGGACGAATGATGTTAAATTTGCTTTGTAAATGGTTAGTTTATTTTGAAAAATTGCTTTTCACATTGTTTTAATTGTCTGCATTCGTTAACGAGAATTGGATGCCACCCAAAAATGGCGGTGATTCGTCATCGTGAGAAAGGCTAATTTTGTCAGTTGCTCTTATTTGTTCACTTTCTGGTCCTCTTCGTGCACTTGTTCAATCAATCCTGTCACTTGTGCAAGCTGGTGGGACGTTTAACGACAACATAGGTCATCCATCCATCCGTTGCCATCGGTCGGTCCGCAATCCGTCCGTCCGTATCCGTGTTTTATCCTAACGAATTTGCAAGGAAGCTTCGTTGAAACAGCAGTAATAATTTCAAACACCAAAAAGGCATGTTGTAAAACATGGACTGGACTCGGAAAACATGGACTCACTCAGTCAGCGATTTAAAACATGGACTGAGTTAAGGGTTAAATTATGATTTGTAAAACATGGACTGAGTTATTAGACAGGGCTACGAATATTGGTACACGTGCTTTTCGCCATGTTGACACGTGTATACCCTATGTAATCTCTGACTCAGCTGATTCATCTGATTGCCATTGTACTTAGTATTTTTCAGTTGCGCAACTTTTGAAGTAAAATGTCTTGTGAAAAGCGAGTTTCAAACTAATCAGGGGCCGGTTGTATAAAACTCTTAATTAATCACTTTTTTAATCACTATTTTGTAGTCTCTCAAAACTAGTCACTTCTTATAGTCACTTCTTATTGGATGACGTTTCCATTTAACTATGATTAACTTTAATCACTTTTTTATACAACCAGCCCCAGTAGTTTGTTTGTAATACACAGGTAAACATATACACTCTGTGTTGTTCTCAGTGGCGTAGCCAGCCCATGCAACGATTCAGTCCCGCAATGCAAATATTACCATGTTTATAAACTATCAACACAATCAATTTCTTAACTAAATGATCGAATAACTTGATGAGTTGAAATTTGCATAGCGGGACCAAATCGTCGGGCTGGCGACGCCACTGGTTGTTCCAACCACCAGTCATCGATCATTTCCCCTTTTCATGCTTAGCCTATTTCATGCTCAGTGAAAGGTCACTCTGATTTACGCCGTGTTTGATATTCTTACCCGTTAAGAACGCAAGGATAACCACCACACTCCATAGGAAACAAGACGTTAGGCTTTCCATCATATTGTACTCATTAGATACCTAACAGAGACCAAGAATTATTATCACTATGAGTGTATAATGGCAGACACACAGTCACAGACAAGAATTAATTAAAGTGTCAGTACTATTTAGGACCTTTATAAAATTATCGATATTAGTCAAAATTAATATACCTGAAACCTGGAGGGTTGAAACATCTAATCGCTTTAGACGAAGCCGCTCGAGACGTCAAATATTTCTTATACGTTTTGTGTAGTCACATCCTTCAACTAAGCTAATAACTATTAATTGTTTATCGCTACAATGGAACCCACTACTCTGGAATAAAACGCGGATACGGACGGACGGGCAAAAAGAATAAAATGCGGATGGCGAACAAAAAGAATAAAATGTGGATGGAGCAATGAAATGCATAATAAAATAATTTGTTTAAATAATAACTAAAGAACATCATCTGCAAGCTACGCCCAGACTATGCATAAGGAACGAGACATTGACATTTATGGGATCCCCTTGATGAGGGTAAAATAACGTCGTTAGTTTCACATATTGTACTCCTTAATATTTTGCCGCAGGTTGCTCATGCATATAATAAACATGGCATTCAGCGATTCTGTAATAAACGCCTTTTCCATCAAGTCAACTTGGCAAAAGTGTAACACAAAGTTTGATTCGAGTCTTTTCTCTGGAGATATTTCGCAGGTATGTAGCACCACTTGACAATCTTGAGCAAGATTGAACTGAGTGACTCGAGGAGTAACTAAGCCTGTAAGTACTGCATGAATTTGCAAATCATTGTCCAGTGTCATGCAAAATCATGCAAATGTGACAACATGATGAGCAGATCCGTTGTTCAAATATAATTAACAGAAAACCAGTCTTTTAGTAGCAATTTAGGAGAGATACTCGCGTATAAATGTATTTGTAGCTTCTGCAGTTCTGAGACTGTGTGTATGATAATGCCTTAGTAATGGTGCATGATTACGAATCTTCGAAATTTCTGTTCATATTTTTCAGGTAATACACCCTTTTGATAATTACGTCATTTGGCCTGGAAGCCTCGCTCTCATGAATTGTGAGCCAATCACCTTGCGTAATTTACTAATGAGAGCGAGGTTCCACGACCGAAAAGTATGTGTGACGTATTTATCGAAAGGGTGTATTGTATATGTTTCGATCAAACCGCTGGCAGTGACGGTTCGACTCTTAGACATAATGTATCTTCTTCAGAGTTTAGAATCAGCTGAATCCTTTGCCCATTTTGTTCCATTGGATTCAGATTTTCGTATAACTATAAGTGCGTAAGTTTAGCTTGTTAGGGTTATTGAATAGTGTAGATGAATTTCGAGCAGAAGATAATAATATACAATTTTCAGACCTAAATGGTCGAGTAATCAGGAGCAACTGCGGCACAATAGCGTACCAACATGCAATACCTTATTGCCATTTCAATGGACCCTTTCCCCCAATTGACCATTTGCGTAATAGACTAAATTTTGATCTCAACAAGTCTAGACAAAATTCCATCATAGCATGAAAGAGCATCACAAAATTAGTAATATTCCAAAGTTTCGTTGCGAAATGTTGTAAAATGCGGATAATATAGCCTTGTGAAGTTTGTAATTTTCAGTCATTTTGTATTACGCATAATTGGGGAATGGTCCATTGCGTGAGTATAAGCTCTTTCGCAGTGTGCTTCCTTTTGAAATTTTATGTCCCAGGAATGGCTAAATCCTGCATTCTGGGAGACTATTTATTTGGGGGCGCCCTTTAGCTAGAGACCAGGAATGAAATTGCTGCTTTTCCCCTCCCCCTGTGCGCTGAGAGTTCTTTTCAAACGTAACCACGTAAAACATACGGTTCTATTCGTTCGCTTGAGAGCATGGTCCTACTAAACACCGTAAGGGAAATTGACAAAATGATATGTCTCCTGCATATATATCCTATACGTACTTAAATGTGAACATTGCTATGCTCTCCTTTGGTGCATCCATAAGAAATATCATCCTTCTAAATATCATTCGTCTATATTCAACCACACATTGCTTCAAATCCAACTTCCCTACGTTTTCATTTTGAATGGCCACCTGAATTTCTGTTTCTCTGTAATGCCGGAAAATCTGGCCCAGGTTTCTCGAAAATCTAGCGTAAATGGAACCTTCTAATTTGATCCACACTTTGTGGGCAGATAGGTCCGAAGCGAAACCTTTTGATTTTTGTGTTCCATTGAACAATTTGATCGTTCTGACCGAGCCAACCACCTTATATAATGCCTATCTGACAAAAATGGCAATTTTTTGTCTCAGATTCCAAATATCACCTCAATTACAATACAAAATTTAATGTGATAATGTATAAACGCCACATCACATGTACAGATTACGGTTTGCTTTATACCAATACCGAATTCGCTTCAACTATCAAGTATATACATGCAACGACCGCACGATGTAGAATTAATGCGAATAAAAATCAAAGCAGATGTTCGTGGACGCTTGCATGTGTCATGATATATATTGTGTAATTATTCTGTGAGCGTGAGAATATTAAAAACAAACAGTAGATGCCTAAATCTAATCCCTTCTCAAACGTGTGTGAAATTAAAACTACTTCAATATATCGTGATGAAACCCACCTACATTTTTGTTGATAACGTCATTAACTTGATGTATTTGGTAATTCCAAACACAATAAATTCTGTATAAATATAAACCCCTCACATTACATTCCTTTTGTCGCCAAATATAATGGTAATTTAACTATTAATTACAGGGGCGGATCTAGCCTCATCTGCAAAGACCATGGGGGTGGTGCACGAGGGAGCCTTACTACTCACTCTCCTCTGCAGTCTGCTACGCTACTATCCCAACATTACAAATATTTGAGATGGCCGAAGTTCTGTTGCATTATCTTTTGTTTATAAAGTTTATATCGGCTTTTTATTATGCACACCCACGGTAGATCCGTCCCCAGATTAACTTTTAATTACCTTATTATAGGAAATTAACGATGCACTTTATTAACGCGACATAAATTAACGCGACATCAAATTAACGCGGATTGCTTCTAGGTCTTTTAAAACATGATTATATTAACGCGAATCTGATCTCCATGGTTGACAAATTAATTAAATTAACGCGAATCGGAAAATATAGACACAACAACAACAACAAAGGTTTAATGTTAAGAGGAGCACTGATGTTTTTAGTTTACGTTAATATGCTGTATTTTGATATTAAAAGAGTTAGTGTTATATAAAACAAATCTAGGTATTTTTAACTAACGATAAATGAAAATTACATACCTAAAATTTACGATCACATAAATTAACATTAATTAAATTAACGCGAATTTTTAAAATCCGCGTTAATAAAGTGCATCGTTAATTTCCTATAATAAGGTATACTGCATGCTTTTCCCCCGACATATGTTTTAATATCGTATTAGGTACTTTAAGTAAAGTAGTTTTCAAAGCATTTTTCTGAAATACTATTTCGTTAACCCTAATCTCTGTGACTATTATAGTATTAGATTCCATATAATTCATGTAATATACTGTAGGGGCCGGTTGTTCAAAAGCCGGTTAGCCTAACCCTGGGTTAACACAAATCTACAAATTAAAATTTCCAACAGCTCACAATTAAGTTGAATATGTTTTTCCAGAAATCCTTTCGGGTTCAATAGAGGTTTTCTTTTCTAAAGTTTTGAAACGTATGATCACGCAGAAATACATAAACAAAAACAGCAGGTTAAATTTAACCCAGGGTTAGCGCTAATCGGGCTTTGAACAACCGGCCCCAGACAAATAAGTACTCGAATATTATAAGTAATTCTGGTTGATCACCATGCATCTGATGCACGCGGTGCCGTATAGTGACTAGGTGAAACCACTCCATCTATCCTGTCTTGTCCATCACTGTCATTCAGCGTCTTGTCCAAGTCGACAATTTTTTATGGTGGATGTCGACTTTTTCACGATGCTGACTTTCAGTTTCTGCATGACGGCAGAAACATTGGCTCAGCCATTCCTAAAGCAAGACAAAATTGCGGTCGTCTATAAAGTTTTACCTGCTGCAACGCAACGACGACGGCTATTCACACAATGATATTCCTGATCTCGTACAAAAGAAATGAATAATTAAAAGCTCCACGGGAGTTGGAGACGCTGTGTTAGTGCTTTTTACAACGGCAAACCAGAGATTTTCACGTCTCGTGTACAACGCAAACATGTCAAGACGCGACAAGTGAAACTACAAATTTGCTCAGCAGAAGCGTTTTTAACCATAAAGCCTTTGTTTTAATTTCTTCAAACTGAACTCAATTCATATATACATGTAGTGGATAATACACAACAACTCTTCTCCACAATAATTTATTTGAAGACGTTTGTTTTGGCTGTCGTCGTAGCGTTGCCGTCGTACATGCTTAAGGTCCCTAATATAGATTTGAAGAGGGCGCTCCGAGTCTGCAGGCGAATTACAGTAAATTATGTTTCATGCATAAATTATACCATTGCCTTGGCTAATAACGCATTCAGTGTACTCTGCCCGGCAATACAAGAAAAACATTTGCTAATTTCTCACCCAATTTTCAGGTTTTGCAAGGGGAGTGGTATTTCCACTGAAAAGCCTTCGCCACAATAAACTTTGTGTTCTCACAACTTGCAAACTGGCCGCCATCTTGCCCCGAAGGATGAAGCGAAGTTATTATTCATGTGATTAGCAAAGTCCAATGTTTTGCTGACGCCACGCAGCAAGTTTACCCAGCATAGCTATAGGTTCTTTTGTGAGCACACATGGATATACATGTATTATAACGCGCACGAGTTCGATCGAGTTTTATTGTAAGCTCCTGGGTATATCATTATCATTAAAGACTTTTCTCAGGTGATTATACTTCACTCAGTCTCAGGTTTAAAATGTGAGATTTTGTTTTATATAATAACCACACGCAATTTGATTGGTCAATACCTGTACAGGATCAGACAATCTTGCACGGAAAATTTAAATGCCTTCGCGTGGGCTTTTTAAAACGTCGGATGTGTATTAAATGAGAGACAAGTTAACAAAAACGTTCATAAATTTATAATAAATTAATAACCGTTTAATAAAGTTAACGTTATTTATTTAATAAAATAATTACCAAATGATTTTCCGCGCATGCGGATAGCGTCATCCATGCACTTGGGGGTGTTTTCGACTTTCAGAAAGCGTAGAAAACACTCGCATGTGCCATTCCGCTTGCATAGATGACGCTATCCTGCACAGAAAACCCATTTGGCATTCCTGTATGAATTCAGTCATTTGAGGGTTTTGTCGTCGGGGATATTATTGGCGTCTGAGGTTTTATAGGTGTGGTTTTGTGATGCGGGGTTTGCTGGCGGGGTTTTGTCAATTCGTTGAATTCTAGCCTGCTCATGAACTGAATTTAGCGGCTTATTGAAATTTCGGGCTGCGAGACAAATACGACTTATTCGACCTAAGTTACATGATTTGCACTAACAGTCACTACCTTTAATGGTAGCACGACAGAACTAGCTTTGTGAGACTTCAATCACGAAATGCCATTCAGTCAACTTTCAATTAATTAAATTTCATTTTCAGATAACTAAACGCGATAACCAACTTGTTTTACTATACCGGTTAGTCTAGTTTGTCTCTTGCTTCCTCTCTTTATCCATCAATGGCGTGCAGATTTTCTTCTTTGTTATCTGCTCAACTAAAGTATATTCAGAAGAATATCGTTATCAATTGGAAAATTCGGGTTGGCAACGCCATTATAAACGTATTTTGTGCATCGAGCTTATATGACCAACCTTTTAAAGCTAGGAAGTTAATATAACTGTAGTTCATGCACTTGAATATAAGAAAAACATCTTACTAAGACACTAAGTGGTTAAATAGAAAACTATCAAATTGAAGCATAACATTGGATACTGAACCTTTTGATTGTACATTTCCTTTATCTGTACTCTAAAAACAAAATGAAAAGTGAAAAAACATTGGATGTTTAATTAACATTACTAGTTATCTTTCAATACGCGATTCTGATTGGTTAACTTTTGAACGAACTGTAGTTAACCTTAACTATACTTTTTTATACAACCTGCCCCAGGGCCAGGGCGTCTGTATAAGAATGACAATAGTGAGCTAAAGCAAGTGACGTTTTTGACAACACGGACGTCGACCGGAAGTAAAGTTGACGTTTTGCACCAATCACAGCCATTGACCCAGTCTTCTGACGTTACTCATGCAGTTCGTGTTGTCAAAAACGTTGTTTGCTTAAGCTCACTATTATCCTTAACATTGCTGCAGCAGTGATACTTATATACAGCAGTAATGTAGAATTTCTCAAATATAATTGAATATATAATAATAGTTGTTTTTCCTTTCAGAACAAAACTGACCATTTCTGCAGCCTTTCGTTTGCTGACGTATCCACGGGGTTGCCATGGTATTCCAGATGTTTGAGGATCAAGTTCAAATACCTTTTGCACAAACCTATATGGAAAATAAAATCTTTATAACACCCGGTAATATATTAGTTATATAGTACAAAAAGTGGCTGTATAAGAAACAATAAGAATAGTTATACAACCTCTTGTATTCTTTCTCAAGAAGTTGAACTTTTTCTTCAAATTCCTTGACCTTTCTTTCAGGGTATTGATGTTGCCGTGCTCCAGATAATTGCTGCAAATAAACAAATGTGTGAAAAATATGAAGAAAATATGAAGCGAATTATCCCAGGTAAAAACTTCGTCTTCAATAATGGTTTATTGTATGATGTATTTTTAATTTTTACCGGAAATCAAAATTTATTGCAAAATAACTGTGGTCTTGAAAGTAAATTGCACAATCGTACACATGCAGTAAGATACTTCTAATCTTACTATACGAGCTACTATATGTAATGGTAAAAGTATTAAGCATCAACTGTTGCTCACTTAAGCTCCGTTTACACTACGCTCAATTTTTGATACCGTACCACTTTTTGGTTCTTGGACTACCTAAATAGGTAGTCCAAGAACCAAAAAAGTGGTACGGGTACCAATTTTATCTGTGCCGTACCAAAAATTGAGCGTAGTGTAAACGGGGCTTTAGTGTTGCATTTTGTCTAATGCCAGAGGACTGATTAATATGCATATGCATTATATTTTCTCCATCTAAAACCAGACTTTATGCATTAGTCAAATCCAATTAAGCGTGCTTATCCCTCCTCAGGCCACCACGGGGCATTAGACAGATTTAGATCGAGGACGCTGACGTCAAAGACGACGTGAAAATGGCGCGGCATATCCATACATGGGCACAACACGCCATTTTCACGTCGTCTTTGACGTACGCGTCCTCGATCTAAATCTGTCTACTAGCTCGTGTAGGACGTTCTTGGGGAGAAGCATTTGCACGCAAACCTTTGCCCGTGGGTGGGGCATTTGAAATCAATATTCCATTTTAAAAACCTCAATTTGCTTTAAAAGTTAACTTGCATGCTTTTGAAATAATACTTCGAATGTTTATTTGTAACTTTGGAATGCTCGTTGCAAAGTCAAAGTTCCGACGTTCGTTTCGATTATTCAATAGTAAGCTAATGGATTGGCTGGCTCTTTTAACTTACAGAGCTTCATAAATCATCGGAACGAACTTCGAAACGAACTTTGGAAATTCACAAATAAAGTAATAAACATTAGAAGAGAATAACTAGATGAGTAACCCGATGCAACATCGTCGCAGACAAGGCTTATTATTTCAAGACATTCAAACATACAGTTAGATTGTTTGTGAAGTGGAATACCCCTGTTTCAAAAACTTTTCTTAGATTTCAGTTGTCCCGGGGTAGAGTGTTTGCTGATGATCTTCTGCCCCACTGCAGAGCATTTTCACATGCATTTCATCCCCGCTCCTACCGTGGTTCCAGAGGCTCCTTGCGAGGCGAAAGAAACGAGAGGCGAGAACGGAGAGCCTCTGGTCACATCGACTGCAAATCCCACTTCCACACTTGATTAGGTTCAGAATTTGAATCTCGCATGTGATTGGCCATTTGTAAAAATATGTCAAAAATAAACATGTAAGCTAATTATAGCGTTTATTAAAATATTCTATTAATTATTAAACTCAACCAAACATGTATTACATGTCCTGCAAAACTGATTAATATTAATATGTTTATCTCCTTAGAAATTTGATACCGTCTCACTCTCACAGGAGTATTAATATTCATGCTTGGTTGAGTTTAATAGAATATTTTAATACAGGCTATAATTAGCTTACAGTAATATTTATTCCCCAAACCGGTTTGACATATTTTTACAGATGGCCAAATGGCCTGCAATCACATGAGAGATTCAAATTCTGAACCTAATCAAGTGTGGAAGTGGGATTTGCAATCGATGTGACCAGAGACTCTCCATTCTCGCCTCTCGTTTCTTTCGCCTCGCAAAGAGCCTCTGGAACCAGGGTACCCCGCTCCTTGAATTAAACACATACTTCAAAAATTGTCAAAAGCCCAGAACACTTGGATTTGACTGATGCATTACCGATCAACAGTTTTACGAGTTAGAATATTAACCTCAAGACAATAATCTAATTCTTTTTTAATGCTTGGAATCCATTTCTTAACCTCTTGTGCAGAATGTAAGGAACCCTAGAAAAAAACAACATGATTGCACCTGCTGCCTTTACATCATATTTTCAGTAAATTCCACTCAGTGGTCAAATTTTGTGTTCAACAATTTACAGCATTTACTTTTGGACAATCTCAATTTAAAACCTGCTATATCCCACAGTGCACATGCACTGGACAATGTTGTATATTGTATCATGGCCTTTTTAACATACGAGCTGGGGGGCAAATGCCTCCCAGTCCCCCCCCCCACGAAATCACATTTTGCCCCCCCCCCAGGAAAAGTCTGGTGATATGCCCCCTTTGGAAATTTGACAAATTGAGACTCAGAATTCAGAAACGCAATTTCCTGCACTTTCTTGTGCAGAATAGAACAAATACAATAATTTCATAGTCATGCAGTTTCGACAGATTATATTGCTTGGTGGGGGCTAACGTACTTGCTTCTTTTGGTCCAGCCATGGAAAATATGACTTTATACTTCGATTCATATTAAGCTTCGATCCATATTAAGTGACACATGTTAATTAAGAACATGGACGGCCCAACTCAAATTTAATTAATCCATTTAGGGGGTTCCTTCCTAGCTCAATATCTCCCCCTCCCATGAAAAATATTGGCTCCCTATGCAAGCATGTATCACATTGTTTAGCTGCAGGAGCTAAAATTTGGTTTACCGCTCAGTGCTTGTTATGCAGACTAAGAACTACTAACTGTACATTACAACTGCACATTGTCCAATGACATGGGTGGAATGGGGACTGATCCTAAGTGGGGAACATGCCCCACCACACTATGGTATTAAAAAATGTATAGCAAGTTTTAAATGAGCGAGCTCTCAACTGCTATTTGCCAATCGACCAAGTGATATAGAAATTCAAACTGATTCATACCCATGTTGCTCGGAATAGCATACTGCTTATACATGCCAGCAACAACTTTATAGCTTGTCTTATTAGCCTCACCCACAGGCATCCCCCATAGAGATGCCTGCAGAGGAGACTATCATGGGGAAAAAATTCAACTTTCCATTAATGTTTTTTTTTAATGTAAAAACTACTCTGTTTTTTCCTGTGCACAGGAAAATATCATTAATGGTAAATATTAAAACATCATGGTTGTTTACCAATTCACCATATGGGAAATCTATAACAACCAATAATGTACCAGTCAATTCCAACTGTGATTATCCCCCCAGGGCGAGCCCCCGGAAATTTGACTTTTCGAAAAAATTTTGGTCAAATTCCCTAGGGTGCAGGCAAAAACATGGTTAAATGCCCCTCCATCTGGGCTGGCCAGATATCCATGACTGTTTATATTTAATGTGTACTGAAAGAACATTATATCATTAATTTAATCATCAATAGAGGAACCATTAAATTTATGTAATGTTGTTTTTTTTATGCTTTTTTCACAGTCTTGTTTTGTTCCCAACAGGGCAGGCTCAGATTCGTGTTGACACAAATCCCGCCTGTGCGGGACTAAACTCTGGTCAAATCCCGGGGGTTCGCCCGGGGGGGGGGATGATCGCAGTTGTAATTGACTGGTACATAATGGTGTAGTAATGTACTAATCAATGTTATGCCAGACCCTAGGGAGGGTGGGGATACACAGGGAATTGATCTGATTTCCCTGCTACTGGGTCGGGGATTTTATTTTATTTGACATCAAGGAAGCTCCCCAGGATCAGGCGTTTTGATATTCTTGTTACCAGTCTCGTATCATTTTCACGAGCGCGGCCGACATCATGGCGTGTTTCAGGAAAATTGCAAGGTGAATTCATGAATACCAATTCATTTGTGGCTTGTTAAATTGTCTTTTTAATATATCATTTAATAGACTAGGAAATAAATATGGTAATAAGAAAGAGAAAATAATGATTACAATTGAATCCAAGAGCGACAGGAAATTTCCGCATTTATATTGAGTTACTGTATATCAACACGGCTCTTAGCCAATTTATCACGTTCAGAATTTACAAATGCTATATTATAAATATAAATAAATTGTTTGAGCAGATTATATAGTCATAGACGTCAAAATATACGGTACCCTTGCAAAACCTCGTTTCATACCATATGCATTAATATCTTTACAACAAGGTTTTAGTTTTTCTGCAAAGAACAGCTAGTTTTATGAATGGTTGATCATGACAGTTACTGCAGACAGAATTACATAATCGTCTTTTTACGAGACCACAGGCACGGGTAAAACTTGTTTCTAGAAATTTATCTGGCAAAATGTGATTTGAGAATATCTTTGTAGTTTTCCTCTAACTCAGGGGTGGAGGGCATTTGACTACGATTGACCACAAAGTGCTGCTTCATAGTGGGGACTATTGACACAAAAAAATTGAAAATGTCAAATGCTCCTGGGTTTGCCCGCCCTCCCTCCCTAGGGTCGGGCATAACATTGATTGGTGCATAAGAGTTCAGTTTTTACATTCAAGTTTAAGATGTATGTAAATGAATGAGTTTTGTTATTTAACACCAATAAGTAGGCATTATTCTTGTTGAGAAACAGAAACTGTGCATATTTTAATAGCTAGCAGCGACTATGCCAAGGGCACAGAGTACTAGCCATACAGAGGTCTCACTTCGCGAGAAAAATGTATGGTAATTTTTACTGCGCATATCTGGCAGCCATGTTTAGCAAATTTCATTTCTTTGCAAGTATGCATCCCCCAAGCCTTGTACGCCTATGAGCCTGATCCTGCTGTCTGCAAATACATACATCATATTCTGATAAAGGGCCATTCCATTTAATATAGGCACCCCCCTATTGAGGGGTCTGGATATCCTATGGGGGGAGGGGGTTTTTACCTAAAATTTTCCTAGAGGGTGGCTTTAAGAGACCATAGTGAAAAGTTGGGCACTTTAACAGGAGATCTCCCGCGGCTGGCAAAGGTCAAAAACTGCTGATGCGGCAAAATCTTGCGGCAGAAAAACTGTAAAATTGATAGTGCGGCAGAATTCTGCGGCAGAAATAGTTTAGAAAATACCTGCGGCACATACCGCATAATTTTGGTGACACGTCAGTGGTGTGTTGTATCAACACATCTTAAGATGTACTCATTATTCGACAAAAAAGCTGTGTTGATTTTAATAGCACGTCTTTTTTTAAGAGTGAAGGCTTCAATGTTTACTGTTTAGTGGTCAGCAGTATTGTGTGTAGTTGTTTGAATTTTTTACCTGCAGCAGTATATTATTGGCATTGCGGCAGGATAGAATGTATGGCCTTGTCAACTGCGGCAGTCTCCTGCGGCAGCCAAAGCGTACTTTCCACTATGGTTAAGAGATTTTCCAAAAAATAGCAAAAATTAGGTGTTTAAACGATATCCTAAAGGGGGTATCAAGATATCCATGGGGTAACTTCCAAAAATCACATCCAAACTGAAAGGGGTTCTAAAATTTTTATATCTTAAAGAGATTAGGAAGGGACTCCTCAATAGGGGGGGGGGGTGCCTATATTAAATGGAATGGCCCAAAGTGATACTCACAAGTGGAGGGCGTTTAGGATTTTTTATCTTCTCTTCTATAATTATAAACAAATAAAAATAATCATGATACGAAGAAATATTGTAATAAACACTATTAAATATATAAATGATCAACCTTCTTGCTGTTTTTTTATGTGCATTCGATTCAAACCGATCAACTTTTTTTCACAATTACGCGCCATCTTGGATTTTGCGATGACTGTGACACCGCTGACCAAGATATCCCATCGTTCACTTTGTTTTCGTTCTTTTTGTGGAGGCCTTTGCGAAAATGGTGAGTCCATCAATAGAAGATATTACAATCCTTTGATTTTTCTCCCATCCTTCACTGAAATAACAATGTTTACAGTAAAATAGAAATATTAGGTCTCTATTTGTTCATATTCCACGTTATTCCAATTATGGAATGTAATTATTAAGGTAAAAATCGCATGGGTATTGACATGAATATTTTTTGTAGCATGGAATTGTTGAACGACTTTCATTTATTCCCCAACAGTACTACAGTTGAAAGTGAAGACATAGTAATAAATATACACGTACTATCAATCTACGACATATGTAAAAGCCGCTTCACCAAGGCCTAATCTAGGACATGGCAGTTTTATACTAAATATCAGGATATTCTGGGGTATCACTTGATATAACCATCTACAAAACCCTTCTACAATTAATGATATCGAGTGTAGATGCCCAAAGTCCTGATATTTACTCATACACTTTACACTGGAAATTGCTTAGTATATATACATGAACTTGCAGTTAGAACTCGACAACTGGCCTCTGTAGCTCGGTTAGAGTGCTGCCCCAGAATCACAGGGCTGCAAGTTCAATTCCTGCCAGAGGGCCTATAGTTGCATCAGGGGTGGATCCAGCGAGGTTTTTCTAGGGGGATGCTGGGTGAGCAGCTGAGTGTTTCTTTATAATTCTTTAGGGGGTGGTGGGAGAGCATTCAAATGAATTGGCTTCCTAACAACTTGAGCGCCGAAGGTGCGAGCTCCCTAGGGGGTCCAGGGGTATGCTCCGGAAAATTTTGGAAATTAGAACCCCAGAAATACCATTTCCTGCGATATGGGCATTGAATTATGAGCTTCAGTTTGACTTCAAAAAAGGAAAAACCTTGGAAATTGTGTGGTATTTCTGAATTTGATTATTTTGCACCCCTGTTGACCAATGCCAACAGGGGGTGTGCACCCCCGGCTCCCCTATAAATCCACCCCTGAGTTGCATTTTTCACAACTGTTCCTGGTTAGAATGTGTTAGATCTAATAAATGTATAACCGTTCACACTCAAAATTTCCATCTACAAAACCCTTCTACAGTTTATACTGCTATAAATATTAAGTTACTCATAAACTAGATTAAAACAGTTCAAACTTTCTTGCTCATATATTACAGTCAAACCGGATGTTCTCTTGCAAGCAATATTGTCCCACAATATTGCAATTTTGATAGCCAGATTGCTCTGAGAAATTTGCAACCAACGCGAACAAATTGCAAGTTGAAATTCACAAAAGATTTGTAAACAAAGCCTCTGATTAGATTATAAGAAAGAGGGAAGCACCAATCCAGTTGCTCAGACTGTTTGATTGGCTTCCCTGTTTCTTATAATCCAATCAGAGGCTTTGTTTACAAATCTTTTGTGAATTTCCAACTTGCAATTTGTTTGTGTCAGTTGCAAATTGCTCAGAGCAATCTGCGTATCAAAATTGCAATATTGTGGGACAATATTGCAATGTTGCTTGCAAGAGAACATCCGGTTTGACTGTAATTGGTTACCCTATCAAGCAATTTCATGTAAATTGTAAGCTGGAGCAGGATGCAATAATTCACATACTTATGTACTGGAGGTATGCCAATACCACATAGGTACACTGAAGGTGACAAAACCGTAGTTGAATAGGTACATCTGACATGTCTTGGCATGAAACCTGATTGGACATGCAGGGTCTGAAATTTGCGGTATCCCAATATCCACGGGATACTGAAATTTGGTTTTGGATACTAAGTTTATTTCACTTGTATCCCGATAGGATACCACATTTTTTTAAAAATCGGGATAGCAGTTAATGTTTTAGTAGTCTCCCGCATTTTTGTTCATTAATTTAAATAGTGCTGTAACATAAGTTTAGCATTCGTCATAACGTTGTATTTATGTAGTCCACTCTGGCACTCACACTGATTGAATTTGCGAGTCGCCATTTTGAATAGTGTTTCCACATTGAAACAACTGTCCAGATTTCAGTGAAAAGAATTTTTTTGAAGTCAAGAAAAGTCATGAAGATTGTAAGGAAATTTGAAGGTCAATATAGGTAGCAAAGTGGATAGCAAATACATTTTTTTGCTTGCAATCATGAACTAAAAATACTCATAAATAATTCATGCATTTCTTGTGATATTATGTTAAATTATTTCATTAAAACCACCAAAACTCCTGATGATGATACAGGCAATGGTCTTGATGATGATACAGCCAATGATGATAATAATGACATTGCACTTAGACTGTAATATAATTAAATAACCCTGTTAACTGTTAAGAAATTGAACTGTATAAGTTCCTTTTAGGATTCTAGTATATAAAATGTGATGGATGAAAATGCTTGACTAAGGGTAAGCCTTAGAGTGATGTTGGGTTTGGTCCTGGGATACGAAAAGCCAACTAGTTAAGTATCCAGATTTGGGATACTGGATTATCGGGAGGGATACCAAATTTCAAAACCTTAGTATCCATGTGGATACTTAAAAAAAATCAAATTTCAGACCCTGACATGATGAGATGGGACTAAGTAACATTCATTGGAATCGATTGTAGTGTTGGAGTGTGAAATTGTGTTCCACCTTTAAGAAGACTGATCTTTGTGTACTTTAACATAATGACTAAGTACATCTTGAGTCTTAAGTTTGTACCAGCTCAAGTATGCTACAATAATGTTTTGAATACCAGCTCAGTACCACATTTTGTGTCAAATTGCCTCTACTGCATCTCTGGGCTAAACGTTGTTAAGTGCATAGGGTAAATAACAGTATCATGTGTAGCTCGGGAATACCACTACAGTGTATACCTCAAAGTGGATTCCTGGTAAACAATCGGCCAGATATATGCCAAAGCAAATTTTTGTTACACCAATTAAATGACAATATCATAGCGCTAACATTAAAAAATTAGAGCTTTTGTAGGTAGCGATCCTTCATAAGTAGGGTCCCCTTTAATTAGGAGTTCTTGGAGGAGCAACCTCTAAATTTCATGTATACAACATCAGAACCCAACAAGATCTAAACTTACTTTCAAGTAGTTGAAATGGTGTGGAAATGAGATGAAGCCCTGTTGTAACTTCACACCAGAGATCTTCAAACTTGTCAAACAGATCATCATATCTTGCGCATAAATACATTTGTCTTTACGACCGTAAACATATGTTGATGCACAAAACAATATTATATTGTAGAACTCTGTTATGTCAAACTTTGTTATCTTAAACCCACTTCCTGCAGAACTACAGTGTGATAAAGATTGCACTCTTTCATTTTAATTTAATAAGATACCTATAACTTAATTTTTAAATAATTTACACTCATTGGCTGGGACCAAGGGAAACAGTAGTTGAGTGTCAAAGAAAACATAAATGACATGAGAAAGATACATAATTTTTCCTCCATGACGGATTGATTTTATTATTCAACAGTGAATATGTAGAAGAGTGTTGCCCACCACCCAAAATTGTTCTCAGGAGACAGTTGAATTTCATGATACTCTCTCATCCAAAGTCAGAGATTCATGAATGCATGAACGTTAAACTGTATTGACAGTGTTTATTATATATTTCACATATGAAAGCGGTATCAATTGGTCATTCGATCAGCCACATTAAGTTATTTAATGATATTGTTATTTCTTGTAATTTGACACTGATTTGATTATCTTGAACCCCTGCTATCTTGAACTCGTTTCTGGGTTCTACTGTATTGGGATTGATCACTGGGCTCTAAATTGATGTGTGAATCATCAGACAAACTATCTTTTCTTTGCTCAAGGGTGAACTGGAATGGGTCTTATATCTCAAGATATAAATTGTGAATTCAGTTTTTCAAGAGAATACTATACCATTGCCAAACGTGTTTTTGAAAATTTACAGCTAATATACCTTATAAATTTCTAGACAAAGGGAACCTCAAGTTTTGGTAAACGTCACAACAAAAGTCACACGTTATGTGTGCGATGTGGAAGAACATCTTTCCACATCCAGAAGAAGAGATGTGCACAGTGTGCTTATCCAAAACAAAGGATGAGAAAATGTAAGTCATATATGAAATTTTATACATGGTATACTGATTACTGTACAATGTGATTTCCTATTTAACCACAATGATTAAAGCCGGTTACAGACGAGCAAGTTTCCCATGACAGGTTCTCATATGACAAGTTTTATTTGCTCGTCTGTTTAAGCAACTTTATCAATTTTGTCTATGACAAGTACACTTGTTCAAAAGCTAAAGTATGCTAGCTTTTGAACATGTGCTCTTGTCATAGAAAAAATTGGCAAAGTACAATTTGTGCTCGTCTTTATATGAACAAAGAAAATTTGGCAAAGTAATTTGAGTACTTGCGTGCAGTTGGTCAGCGATCCGTTGGCGTTGTCACAGAATAGGAAGGTACACCAGAAGTCTCACTCAAGCAAGTATTTGTCCGCGTTTTTACAAGCGATTCGTCATCAATCACGCCATCCCGGCTAGTACAACCGGCACTTTGTACCTACCAAAACCTGATAAAAACTTCCGGTTGTACTAGCCAGGATGGCGTGAGCGAGTTAAAATTTTCGTGGACGTAAACACCGACTAAAGTTACACTTCTGCTGTACTTTCCTATTTTGTGGCGTTGTTGTAATGGCAGTATAGCCACAGAATAGATACTAAACCAGAAGTGTTACTCCTATGTGTTTTGGCTTGGGAAAAACGTCCGAAATTTTTTACGTCCTATGACGACATCCTGGAGTGCACACGGCACTTTGTACCTATGTTTGTTGCCATGAAAAATTTCCGTGTGCACTCCAGGATGGCGTCATATGATGGCGTATTTGGCACGTCAGTACGTAAAATTTCGGACGAAATATCGTCTGAGTGACGTTTCTGGTCTAGTATCTATTCTGTGTCGAGGCGGTTGGGAGAACCAAATTTGTACTAAAACTGAATCTGATTTATGTAGACAACTGGAGTGTGAAAGCTCAGCGCCGCCGAACAACTGGCACTGGCAAAATGAAACATTTGAAGATCGTTCAAAGAAAATTTAAGAATGGTTTTAGAGAAGGTGTTCAAGCCAAATCGAAGAAAAGTCGTATTGCTGCCCAAGCACCTGCTTCAAGTTAAATGTTTCTGTGAAGTAATTAAAAACTTCAAAATATATAACATCGTTTGTGTTTGTTACTGTATATTGTTGATATATTTTCATCTGATGAAACAGTCGTCTTGGTGTGAGCACAAACTAGTTAAAATAGTGTGAAAGAATTAACTGCCAATCATTCTGGTTATTTTTCTGTTAGTTCGTTTAACTTAAGACGTCTTGACAGATGGGCCGCATTTATACAAATGACGAACTATATATTTCTTTGTACAAGTTAGTCTGGACGTACGAACGTCTTATAAATTTCGATGCCTTCCGTAGAATGTACTCACAACAAATCACAAACCGTTTGTTTTTTGAAAATTTATCTACACAAAAACTGTAACAGTTCTAAATGACCATTTCCTGTTTTCAACCTCCCCGCCCTCGCGTTCTGGATTTCTGGTCTTCATAAGTAGGTTAACTGTGCAGGATTAAGTTAGAAGAAAGAAAAGGAAACTCGACATCGTCCTCCAATCAGATTAGTGGCCGATACTGATGGCTATCTCTATGTCAAGAACTACTATGAGCTCCGTCCAATGGACCAATTGCCGACAGACTTACGAAACGCATTGTTGACCACTCTAATTAGACGTTTAAATTGTCCTCCCCACTCGATGGAAAGTTTCGCTTGGAAATGAGCTTTATCTGAGTAGAATAATGCAGATTTTCCTCTGCCTGCTATAAATGAGGCACTGACATTAGGTCTAAGTATACAGTGATGACGATACAGACGAGGCAAGCCTTCGGACATGCCCAAAATCCCGTGCGCCTGTATATAATTGCATTTTTCGCAGCTGCTCCTGATTTGATCTAAAACTATAATTTACACTGGAAATATACATCTTACAAAAAACCCTTCAACATTTAGTTCTATCGAGTGAGATGCCTAAATTCCGATGGGGTATTCAGCTACGAGTCTCGGACGACATTCTAGTACTTGGTGGTTGTTTGGCTAAAGTTAAGTTGTATTGAATATGTTTGAAAATGAGAGTCTCTTCGGGCTTCTTTTTGGACCAGTCATATCTACAACATCTGCGTTAGGCCACATAAAATAAATTCCTTGATTCTCATCACCGCCCGACTGTATTTTAAGAGCCGCGTGAAATTTTTTTATATTTTGTTATACAATATAAATGTACCGCCCGACAAAATATTTCAAGACAGTGTCGTAGACTGACCTGTGGACTGACGCACGCAATAATAACTTTAGTTAAGAACTGTCAATCAAAAAAAGCGAAACAGTGAGCGAGACGAGACATGGCGAGACGCGTATACTTTTTTTAAGGATCGTGACTAAAACACCACACGAGTACATACGAGTAATACACAAGTACATACGAGTAACATACGAGTAACACACGAGTAACATACGAGTACACACGAGTAACATACGAGTACATACGAGTAAAATACGAGAATTAGCACGCTTTCTTTAAAGTTTTTTTCACTTTCACACTTTCACTTTGGCTTCGTATTATGTTCATGTTTTAAATGCCTTATTGACATAGGCGTACGAGACAGGGGGGGGGGGCAACTGCCCCCCCCCCCCAAATTTTGGAAAACCATGGAAATTCGAGCAAACGCTAGGAAAAATCAAGAAAATTCGGGCAGATTGATGAGAAAATATGTTAAAACTAGGAGTTACTATCGCAAGGAAAATGCTGCCTCACCCCCCGAAGGGATGAAAGGCAGCATGCACAATTTGCTCAATAAGGGGCTGTTAATATGATCCTGCTTTGCCAGGACAAGATGTGTGAAGCTGAATTATTTTGATGTATTGAAATAAGTTATGGTCCACAATACAGCAATTAACTGTAATTATAATTAACTAAATTATAATTAACTGTAAATGACAGGTTGTTCAGGCAACAATAATCAGGGGCGTCGGAAGCGGGGTGGGGGGCTGGTCCTAAATGTCTTTGGGCCACCCACTTTTTAACAATTGTCAGTAAACGTAATAAACCACAAAGGACATTTTGTTAGCTTTAGAACTCTGTAAATCTCCTAAAGTGCAGAACATGGCATTTCAGTGAATATAGTTTTTAAATTATCCCGGGGGACAAGCCCCTGGATCCCCTACACTGTTATCTGTCATCACCCGCCTTCCTCCCCCACTTTTACAGCCGTTCCGACGCCCCTGGTATGTGGTGGAGTTGCAAGTTTGCCCGAATTTTTATGGAGAATTGTAAAGAAATAACCTGATTTTAACATATTTTCTCATAAATCTGCTCGAATTTTCTTGATTTTTCCTAGCGTTTGCCCGAATTTCCATGGTTTTCCAAAATTTTGGGGGGCAGTTGCCCCCCCCCCCGTCTCGTACGCCTATGTCAATAAGGCATTTACAACATGAACATAATACGAAGCCAAAGTGAAAGTGTGAAAGTGAAAGAAACTTTAAAGAAAGCGTGCTAATTCGCGTATTTTACTCGTATGTACTCGTATTTTACTCATATGTACTCGTATGTACTCGTATTTACTCGTATGTTACTCGTGTGTACTCGTATGTTACTCGTGTGTACTTGTATGTTACTCGTGTGTTACTCGTATGTACTCGTATGTTACTCGTATGTACTCGTATGTACTTGTGTGTTACTCGTATGTTACTCGTATGTACTCGTGTGGTGTTTTAGTCACGATCTTTTTTAAGATAATAGATTCTACTCAGATTTTGTAAACATTATTATTGAGAAAACGAACAGTGAAGGGACGAGAGACGAGAAGATTGTACGAACGGGTAAACTAGAAATAAGTATTTATATTGGGCGTAATAAGAAAAGTTATAATATCAACACGAGAGAATATATTATTTCATACAATTTTACGGGGGCAACAATATTTACTACACCTGGCACCTCCGACGCGATACAACGAGATATAGCTTGAAACACAGCAAAGATACGCTATCTTCGGTGATGGAGGCCCCTGAATCTAAGTTAAAAACCAAGTTATTACAACTGCAAATGACCGTGAGTAGAACTGAGAAAATACTTCAGACAGAGAGCCAGCACCCTATAGCACGTCAACAAACGGCACTTGAGACAATAACAACCGAGATAGAATTACTGAAGGGAGAAGTCGAAGCGAAGAAAATTACAGACAAATTACGAGATAGAGAAATGGATTGGGGAAATTGAAGTACAGCTAGCGAAGGCAGACGAAGAAGTTAAGCGACTACAACAATGGCAAGATCAAATCACAAGCGAAGGGAAACAACGCGAGCGAGAAGAACAATTACACCACGAACGCGAACTTTATGAGGCGAAAATAAAACTGAAATCTGAATTAAAACTTTCAAGTGAAAACGTCGGCGCCAAAGACGAGGTACAAGCGAAACTACCTAAGTTAACAATTACTAAGTTTAACGGGACATACCAAGATTGGACAAGATTTTGGAATCAGTTCAGTGAGACAATCGATAAAAGCGGAATTCCAAGCGTTACAAAATTCGCTTACTTACGCGAATTACTCGACACAAACGTAAGAAAGACGGTAGAAGCTCTACCGTTCACTGGTGAGGGCTATGTCAGAGCCAAAACTATACTAGAAGAGAAATATGGGAAAAAATGCGAAATTATAAAGGCATATACGAAACAAATTCTCGAACTTCCGGTGATACCAAATGTAAACATTAAGAAAATTCACGAGTTTTATGACACTTTGATGTATGCCGTGCAGTCTTTGGAAACTATGGGATGTTTGCAGCAAGTTAATGGAAATGTGGCTTTAACACTCGAAAAATTACCAGGAATTCGTGGTGATCTTGCAAGAACCGACCCTGGACGGGCGTTGAGAAACTTTACATGAAGTATGCGTTTATTATACTGCGGGCTCAAGAACAAACGTTGTCGTGACGTTTTGAGAGAACTGAGTTGTTTAAAAGGAAATTGGTCGTTTTGTACACTGTTTTGGACGCTTTTGGATCGCGAAAACTTGTTATTATTGTCGATTTTGTATTGCTCTGTTGGCTGGCTTGAATCAAGAAGATTTGACTGTTTTTGAACGGTAAAAATGAGCATAATTTGACTGATTTATATCCGTATATGTGACGGTCGTAATATTTTAACTTAGACAGTCTCAGTTTATTCATTTATGTATTGTGTAAGGTTAATAGGTATGTTTTAGTATTTCTGTATTATTTCGCTTTGTAAGTTTATGAATATTTGTCTTTTTAGCGTGAAAAATAAAACCGTTCGTTATTGTGAGTGGTGTGTACTTCATGTAACATTTAATATACAGTCCCCAAATACAAGTATTGAAGGCGCGTGGGTTGGTCGTCGACAAACATTGAAACGAGGCCCATAGGCATGAACATTTTGGTCCTTCGAGCCGGATCAGAGCAAAACTAGACAGAACTGAGAAACTGTGGGACATAATTTTGGAATAAAATAATGTTTGTAGCCGAAAATACAAGATCACGAAAGGATAAAAGATCTCAAAAGGATGACATAGATCATGAGGAAGTCCCAGAAACAAGCCAAATCCCTCAAGCCGATCAGAACATTGAGAAGGTAGACAGTTCAAGACATGTTAGAGAAGACCCATCAACCCCCCTCTCCAAAGCAATCAAAGGCATTCGCTTCAAGACGGTGTTGCAATAGGGATGATCACCAGATATATTAATGCGACCAACAAAATGATGGAAGAAAAACGTAGTCGGACTGCTATAAAGAGAAATCTACATGACATCCAAACTAAATTTAAAGAAGTAGTAGCCTACAATGACCAGCTCGAAAAGTATCTTGAAGGAGATGAAGAAATACTCGCGGACATGTATATCCTCACTGACTTAACAGTCGACGTAAATTGCATAACTGGCATGGTACAGGAACATCTACAAGACCGAACCGGTGAGACCTCGACATACATTGGTTCAGAGACTAGTTCACAGCACAGTAGTCCAACCCCCGAGCCCCAAGTGGAAGGTGATGATCAAGATGAAACTGACAAGCAGAAACTGGAAGAACTTGAAGCTGAACAGAAGAGAAAAGATGAAGCAGCCTACCTATCAGAATTAGCCCAGCAGAAAAGAACCGAAGCTGCTCGACTCAAATTAGAAGCAGAGGAAGCTGAAAGACAGTCAGAAGCCATTGGAGGTGGGTGTAACCAGTCCGGACAAAAACTGCCTGCAAACCTGCCAACACAGCCAGAGATATGCGGTAAAGAAAAGGCTGCACTTTATGTACAACACCTCGAACAAGTCCAGACACAGGGAGCCCAATCTGAAAATGCCAGTGAAGAAGATTGGATCGTTGGATTTCGAAAGACACTGAAAGTTAATGTTCGATCAGTGGACCCTGGAAAAATCCCCGTAAGAGCAGATGTGCCTATTTATAATGGCGATCCATTGAAGTGGTTGTCCTGGAGTGGTCTCTTCAAAGCGCTTGTACACAATACGAAGATGACCTCGGAAGCCAAGATGGGATTCCTTCACACAAAGCTTTCTAAAGAATGTGACCAAGTGATTGCAGGTCTATTCCCAGACGACGAAGGATATGCCGAAGCCCTAATGCTATTACGGGATAGATATGGTCATCCAACTACGCTACAAGCAGCTCATCTACAAGTATTGAAATCGCTACCTGCTGTCGATCCTGGAGACCCAGACAGTTTAGCAATTAGTTTCCAGACCTTCGTTGATCAAGCGAGAAGTCACCTTGCTGTACTAAAACGATATAGTATGGGAGAATCTCCATTTGTGTCGTCTCTTATTTATGAACTGACTGATAAGTTACCACAGGAGGATGCAAAGGCCTGGCGGACAAAAGTTGGTGAAGGTCAAGTGAAGATGACGCTAGAAGCATTCAGCACATGGTTGGGAGCAAGAGGAAGGTGTTACTGGAGTGCGTTGCCCCCACAAAATACTCGAAGAAAAGAAAATCGTAACAACCGAAATCGTCCCAGAAGATCTTTATTTGGCCAGCATATTGCCAAATGCGTGAAATGTGATGGCAAGCATAGGACGGAGAACTGTACAAAGTTCAAAGAGTTGTCAACGGAAGACCGTTTCAACTTTGTGAAAGAGAAACGGCTCTGTTTTGGTTGCTTAGAAGAATCTCATATTTCTCGAAATTGTCCACAGAAAAAGGAATGCGGCATCGGGAACTGCAAAAGGAAACATCACCCGTTATTACACCAAGAAGAGAATGTGCGTTCAACCACCACCAAGACACCACAGTCCGGTGTAGCGTTTGGAGTTGTTGAAGTTTCCGTCGTTGGTGCTGGCGGCATTCAAGTGAAAGGAAACCTTTTGTTTGATGATGGTTCTGACACTACGCTGGTAACAGAATCTTTTGTGCGAAAGCTGGGATTGCGGGGAAAGAAGAGCACGCTCAACATTTCGGGTGTTGGAGGAAAAGAAAGCAAAAGAACGTCTTCTCAAGTGAACCTCCATGTTAAAACACCACAAGGCAATGCTGAATATGTTAATCTCACAGCCTGGAGCCTTCCAAAGATCTGTCAGCCAGTTGGAACTGTTCAATGGCCTGATATCAAAAGAAAGTGGAAGCACCTGGAAAATGTTAACCTGAAAGCTGTTGGTGGTGAAATTCATAT